CCGCAAATTCAATCAATTATTTCAACTCTGCATTCAATACGCAAATCGTGGGGGCAATGGTCGCCTATTTTATAAAAACACTGATCAATACATTTTCCGTGAAGACAGAGGATATCCAACTTATGGGTCATAGCTTAGGCGCACACGTATCGGGATTTGCGGGCAAACGATTCAATGAAACAAAGATCGGACTCATCACTGCCTTAGATCCAGCGGGACCTGGGTTCAATTATGTGCGACTGGCCCCTAGTGATGCCAATCTGGTCACGGCTGTCCATACCAGTGCCGGAATAACTAAAGAGAGTATTTATAGAAATGTGAAATTGAAATTTACTTATATAATTGACTGTGATTTTGGTGTTTAGTAAATGTCTTTATGGGAGACAATCTGTTAGAATCGGTGCAGTTGTTTGGATTCCTGGGAAACTCAGACTCATTGGCACACTTTGACTTCTGGCCAAATTCGGGTCAGTTTTCATTAGTTTTTATTAATGCAAATTAATTAATAACTGATGATAACTGTCCTATTAATCAGGCAACGGACAGCCCGGGTGTGAAAAAATATCTCAAGAATTTCTCAATGAAATACTGTTAAAAGGAGGGGGCGGTTAGTCATTATTATAAGCAATTTAAATAGAAATAGAAATAAATTTCAATTTAACTTTCAATTTAAAAGCATTGAAAGAGAGGGCCAGTTGTGACCACTCGAGAGCTCACGAGTTACCGACTGCTGAACAGGCGCTCCGACAGCCAGACTCGTGTCAAATGATTGGCTACGAGTGCGACAGTTATCTCGAATTCAAAGCTGGAGAATGTGGTGATTGTGGCCCTGATAACCAGAAATGCCTTCCAATGGGATTCCTACCAGAATATTGGCCGAAACAATACTTTTTAGAAAATAAACCAAAAGTAGACTTGAAGAATTTATTCCTTAGGACATTGTCTAAACACCCATTTTGTCTCTTTCACTACCAAATTGTGGTAATCATTTCAATCATTTATATACCAGTTATGAAATACATTTTAAATTAGTATTATATTGAAGGTGTTAATGGAGGAGTCNTTAGTATTATATTGAAGGTGTTAATGGAGGAGTCTGCATATGCCGGTGCCTTATCTATTAAATTTAAAGGACAAATTAAAACACTGGGTATTCTGATGCAAAGTGGTTTATTAGGCTTTAAGGCCGGTATGAATTACACCCATTTATATACTGACAGTGAAAATGTGGGCCAAATATCGGAAGCAATTGTGACATATGATAGCAATATTATCGCAAAGTTTAATCCTTTGAATCCATTTGTCGGTCGAAAGGATAATGAAATTAAAATCACCCAGATTGTTTTTAATTTTATGAGTCATATCGATAAAAGGTTTAATTAGTTATAATATTATTGATACTGTATTGTTTATTGATTATTTATTTTATTTGGTAGCATTCGTGACAAATATTCATCAGTACTATATCCAGACTACGAGAATCCTGTCGATGAAAATACAGTTACTTTTCGCATAATGAAGTGAACAATGAACGTCTATAATTTATAACGTCCCATGATAAACTATAAATTATAAAAAATTTTACAAGTTTTAAATATTAAGTTAATATATTTTTATCTAAATTTCGACTCAGAATAAAATTAATATTTGGGAAATAATGGGACAATTTTCAATAGACTTATCGTGGAGGAAATTAATTAAATCGTTGTACTTTTAGAGACAAAAAATGAGCGTGTTTACCCCATAATTAAAATACCCATAGAGCTAAATAATATGGGATCCCAATTTATTTAATAAACTATTAATTAATATAGAAAAATTTGATCAAAGAAATTTTATAAATAAATGATTTAAATATAACAATTTAGAAATATTACATGTCAATCACTTTTATTTTATTAAATTACATAACTAGAAAAGCGTATTTTATCGAATAACTTTAGTTAAACCTTGTTTTTAAAAATTATCGCTATTAACTAAATTATTGATAATTAAGACTAATAAATATTAAAGAGAAGGAGCATGGAAAATTCTATGAAATTTCATACATATTTAAATATTTATTTATAAATATATTTATTCATAGAATTATCTATTCATAAGAATATCACAAATTCTATGTTTTCTAAATTGACAGAAAACACATGTGTTTATAGGAAAGTTGTTTAATAAAAAATTATCAAATTATAGCTAAATCCACGATCGAAACATTTAACAGTTAATTTTTGTCAAACAATTTTATTTCAAGATTCACATCGATTAAGTTTTTGATTTCTAATAGATTTCTAATATAATATATATTTTTTATTTTAATTCAATAACAGTATAGAGCTTAAGAATCGCTTAAAATATGGCTATTTTCATGAGAATTATACTTTTGAATTTAGTTATCATTTTCAGTCATAAAGAAATCAATGCCCTTTTTGAGGACGAACAGTGTAAGTATCAAATACTATAATAGATACTACAATGTACTAGATTATTCTCACCACACATTTGGTATTATCACGAACATTGTAATCTATACACTATTATAATTGGCAGCAATCAAGTGATTAACAAGTTGATTGAACTCTAGGTTTGAGTGAACACTGTTTCGATGAGCTAGGTTGTTTTGAGAGTCGCGACTTTGTGATGGAAGAGAGAAAATACTTCCCACACCTGGAGAATACAATTAATGCCATGAAAAACGACAAGTTTAAGCTGTGGAACAACCAGATGATGATATGTCCGGTCAATCCCGAGCACTCAGACGTCGAGTTTAAGCTATTCACGCCCGACTCCAACCATAGCGTTGCATTCACATATAGACCCGACCCAAAAGTGCTTAAATCTACGAGCTTTTCGCCAGACAGAAAGACCCTGTTCATTGTGCACGGATACGTGGACGGCTATAAGGGGTGCGATGATTACGGGTCCTGTCATTGGATGGAAGTATAGCTCAGTGTCATATATTTTTTTATAACAGATTTATAATAACAGAGAATATTTTCTAATTTAGAGAATCAAAAACTATTTCATCGCTTATGACTACAACGTGATAGCCGTGGACTGGCATAAGCCGGCCGCTTCACTCAACTACTTTTACTCAGCCTTCAACACTCGTATCATAGGAGCAATGATCGCCAATTTCATCAAAACACTGGTCCAAGTGTTTAGTTATAAACCCAGTGATATTCAACTCATGGGACACAGTCTGGGCGGACAGATAATGGGCTTTGTGGGCAAACACTTCAACGAAACAAATAAAAAAATAGGGTTCATATCTGGCTTAGACCCGGCCGGCCCTGGTTTCGACACTTATAGCCTCGAGCACACCGACGCCGACCTCGTCATAGCTGTCCATACGAGCGCCGGCCTCTTAAAAGCTGGTAATCATGGAAAATTAATTTGAATTTATTTAATATGTCTTTCCATATACAGTGGATATGTCTGATTTATTAAGTTTCAATCCGTTGGAAGTCTTACAACTACAAGGGTATACGGGTAGTGTCAGGAATATTGGTGATTTTGATTTGTGGCTTAATGGGGGTCAGTAGCTGTTTGTACAGTATTTATCATTTATTGATTTATACTATATTATGATAATATTTTCAATACATTTGTACTACCTTTGAAGGCAATGGACAGCCAGGTTGTGATACGACGTCCATGAATTTCCTTAAGCAAGCCTTTGCCGCGGGTCCTGGCGGTACGGCATTGGATTACATTTAGAGACTATTTGTTTTCATTAGTATTTATATTACTCATGAGTAGGTCTTGCCGACAATATGGCCTGTTCCCATATGAGAGCCACTGAAATTCCATCAGCTGAAAGAGTGCTGAGAGAGCACCGGGATGAGAAGGACACGTGCCAGTGGGTGGCCTATGAGTGCAGTAATTACATAGACTTTCTCCATGGTCAGTGCTATGACTGCGGCCAAGACGGTAAAAAATGTAAACTCCTTGAGTATATGCCGGGCTATTGGCTACAACCCAAAAATTTAGTCGATATCAAGAAAGGCTTTCCACAGAATCTGTATCTACAGACCCAGGCCATGCCTCCCTATTGTCTCTATCACTACATGATTGTGGTATTTATGATCATATCAATGATATTTAATTTGTCTCAAACAAAATTGCGTTGAATATACATATTATGTATAGCTACATATGTCCGAGGTGAAATATGTGGGCAGAATTAAATTCACACTCAATGGCAGAAAGAAAGTGGAGTTCGAGAAACCCTTTGAACTCAAATCCAAAGACCCAAAGACATACAACTTCTTGTATACGGATAGCGACCATTTGGGACAAATCACTGAAATGACTATCGAGTACCATAAGACTATTGTGGGCTCTTTGGTTAAGTACTTGCAGATCCTTAGGCCCATGACTTTCATTCAAAGCATGTCTGCCAACGAGATCACTATATCGGCCATTGATGTCATCTTCATGAGCCATATCGACCAAAGGTTTCATTTAATAGATTTTATATTAAGAAATACAGTACATGTTAATTAATACATTTTTTATTTGGTTAGTGTTCGTGACAGTTATTCATCACAACTGATCCCAAACACAAAAGACATGTCTGGAAAAGGATTCAATTTTATAATTAATAAGGATAAGTAAACATAATTTTAATATAAAGTTTACAACAAATACTATGAAATATTATAAAATAAAATTCATACAAGAATAAAATCTTTAATAAACTCGGTAAGTTTTACACAAAAATAAATTCAAAAATTGTAATTGTTTAATGCTTGCTAACTACAAGATAAATTTAAAATATATAAAATATGATGTAAGGAAAACAATATCCTGAACATCCATGCTTATGCTGCATAATGAACATGCTAAACACCCAAATAATTATTGATTATTTCACTAATTTGGTGCACATTTCCAGTGAAAAAGCTCTTGTGATTGCCTTTCATGATATGTGTAATACATTTGCCGCTAATTATCTGTTTATGAAAAAACACGACCGGTTATAAAACAGGTACAAAACACTACAATATTGAAGAGAGATATAAAAATGCTTACTTCAGACAACCCGTAGTCATGTTTAATGAGATCCTTATTGTTAACGATATTATCTTCGGCTCTAATCAGTAGCAAATCGTTTGCAAACTTCACTCCATTCTCATACTGACAGCTATTATTATGAACACTATATGTGTTTAACATCAACAGCTTTGTCGAAAAACTCTTGGCTATGA